GAGCGAGTGTGAGCAGCGGCGTGAGGAACTGCAGGATCCCGGCCAGGTGAGCGCTGTGAGAGATCCAGTAGACGATGTACAACACACACCACAGTAGCACAAAGCTGATCCACGACGCTACCCAACGCTGTAGGAGTCGCGAGGTGGAGGCTAGACGCCGCTGTGGACAGATAGACGGGTACAGGGGGGGGGACGGTGCGGACAGACAGACGGGTACAGAGGAGGGACGGTGTGGTGTGTGGATAGACGTTGCTGTGGACAGATAGACCGGTACAGGGGAGGGACGGTGTGGACAGACAGACGGGTACAGGGGAGGGGTGTGGTGTGTGCAGATAGACGTTGTGTGTGGATAGACAGGTACACGGGAGGGGGCGGTGTGTGGATAGACGTTGTGTGTGGATAGACAGGTACAGAGGAGGGGGTGGTGTGTGTGGATAGACGTCGCTGTGGACCAATAGATGGGTACAGGGGAGGGGGTGGTGAGTGGGGATAGACAGGTACAGGATAGGTTGTGTTGAGTGCGGATAGACGGGTACAGGAGAGGGGGTGGTGTGTGTGAATAGACAGGTGGAGGATAGGGGGTGTTGTGTGTGGATAGACGGGTACAGGAGAGGGGGTGGTGTGTGTGGATAGATACACACACACACACACAGACACACACACATACACACACACACACACACACAACAGACACACAAACTGACCAACAGAGTGAAGTATGTAAACATAAGGTCTTCATTCCTCATGACGGGAGGTCTGTCTCCCCCAAGGGTAGAACTTTGCCAGCTGATCCCCCGCGCAGGACTCGAACCCTGGCCTTCACACTCCTCCACGCCCGCCCCGGGGACAGAGGCAGCATCAGCCTTCCCTCCTCTGCCTCCCTCTTCCTCCTCCTCTCCTCCCTTCTCCTCTTTCTCGGAGGTCGGGTAGCTTTCCGCCGACACCTCCAGAACATCGCTGAGAACCTGGCCCTCCATGGTCATTGCGCTGACACTTCTCTGGGGGGATAGAGGCAAAGGGTTAATGTAGGTCATTGCGCT